ATTTTTTTTGTTTTTTTTTTTTTTTGCGCTACCGTTCAAAAGTTTAGAGTCAGTAAGATTGTTTTTGAAAGAAGTCTCTTATGCTCACCACGTGAAATATTATTACAATTTAAAATAGCCTTTTTGTATTTGACTATATTTTAAAATGTAAATTATGTGATGGCAAAGCTGAATTTTCAGCATCATTACTCCAGTTTTCAGGGTCACATGACCCTTCAGAAATCATTCTAATATGCTGATTGGCTGCTCAAGAACCATTTATTATTATCAATGTTGAAAACGATTGTGCTGCTTAATTATTTATTAATTTCATGCAAACTGATTCTTAGATTAATAGATTTCAAATGTTTGAAACAAAATAATTTATTTGAAATAGTCTTTAAAGCCCCTTTTGATCAATTTAATACATCCTTGCTGAACTAATAACTGTAATATCACAGATCTTTTTAGTACCTTGGCAGCCTCTTGCGCTATTTTGAGCAGGCTGAAGAACTCATTTCGGATTCCTGGAAGAGTAATTTGCTCAAACATACACTCCTGCGCCTGTGCTACCATCAGCTGGATCAACATGCTCAGCATAGCAGGGCTCATATCATAACTGGGAGTGTGTGTAAATGTCTCCTTTAGGTAGTGCAGCACACCTGCAGCAGAACATACACGAACAAAATCAAACAGACAGAATTAAGTAGAATTTAATATCAGAGTGTGCATCTATACAAATCAGTCCCCTTATATTTGCATTCAAATGCAGCAGTGGGTAAATTAAACAGAAATTTAAACAGAAAATTCTGGTAACACTTTAGAATAGGGAACACATATTCACTATTAATTAAGAATTCCTCAATAAACTCCTAATTTGCTGGTTTAGTTTATTTTAGTTATGGAGTAGGATTAAGGGATCTAAATTATGGTCGTCATATAGAATAAGGCATTAGATTTCAAATGTTTCAAAGGTTTATAGTATGTGCATATGTGCATTATAAGTACTAATAAACAGCCAGTATGCTAGCAATATGCATGCTAATAAGCAGCTAGTTAATAGTGAGAATTGGTCCTTAAAATAAAGTGTTACCAAAATTCTAGGTAATTTCTTAAACTTCCCAACATTATTTGGCTTATGTAAAAAGCACTGCCATTTCCTCATTTTAATGCTTTTGCAAACACATGTTAAAGATAAAAAAAGACTTGTAGGACAATGCGTCAATCAATCTTTGTCATAATCACAACAACAAAAGGAGAGAGAGAGATTATATTTGGTCCTTCTTTCCGGTGGAGAAATACAAAACATTCAATGTGATGAAGACAGCGGGGTAGGCTGTTTTGATAGCTTAAGAATGCCAGCCAAATCTCTCTTTATGCTGCTGTTATTTTAAGGAGGTTAAAAACTGACACAAGCCACTGAGTTCCCATGAGCCTTTGACAGATCTGCTGATGAGGGGGAAGAATTACATCATGTTCTCTCCACCTTGAAACACAACCAGAACCCGAATATATGGTCTGTTCTCATGAGGCAGGAGTTCATCCACAGTTCATCATAGCCAGTTTTGGATACTTTCCTTGCCTTCTTGCAAACTAATCTGGATCTGTACCACATTACTGATGTTCCAAACTGGTTATGTGCATCTTTACTGGTCAAGTGCATCTACTTAAAACCTCTCACCTGCGGATTTCTGGAAGGCAGCAATGGCGTCCTCGAGTCCAGCTTGTGTCTGTCTTTCGGCGCGGGTTCCAATCTGGGAGCATAGAGCTGCCATGTTGAAGAGTATGCTGGCTTTCTCCAGTGAGATGTTCTGCTGGCACACAGGCACACCAGTAAAAGAGTCATACCTGCGTAGGCACAAAAAATGTGTTAAAACTCATGTTGACAAAAGCGTTGATGAGGCTTATTTTTAGTTTGGTTAAATATGCAATGCTGAAGTGCATCCTGTAGCTTTATTAGTAATTCAGCTACTTCTCTTTGTTTTTAGTTTTTTTATGATGATTTTTGTTCTTTATCCTGTTATCTACCTTTGTCTCTAGGGTATAAATGAATGAAAAGCAGATGTATAAACATAGAAACAACAATGGCAGTCTGACAGCCCAGTCAGACCAGTTGTGTGTTTCCTCTGAACGAGTTGTAATGTTTACAGCTGATTCAGTGGTGCATAATGTCATTACAAGCATATTACTGCTGGTGTGGGTGAGATGCAACGTACCAAGTGAAGAAAATGCCAATCTGGCGTGTAGGGGAGAAGAATCGAGGTTCTAAGAAGGAAAGTTGACTGAAGTAGCTGGCAAGCAAATCTACACCAGAAGGATTACGACTGGGGGTCCGACAGGCCTGAAATACACACATTCACTTCAATCAGTTGTGTGTCAATCAGTGTTTCTGAGCCTGTCTACTGTAAGTTTTTTTTTTTAAGGTCATGCAATTTTATGAATTTAAACAGAGAATCGAACCAAATACTTTTACAGAGGTCACATCATACCTGTCTCAGGTCCATCAGGTCATCAATCTCAACCTGAAAGTTTGAGCCATCTTCACTGTAGTGTTCCAGGATGAAGTCCTGTTGAAAATAAATTTCATATCCATTTACTCACTGTGTCAAAGCAAACACAAAAACGTCACACAGTCACATATTCACAGGCCTGTTCTCCTGGCTAAACTTGTCTGTAGTGAGAAAACAATGACAGTGTCATAGATTCACCATTGCTATGTCATTACAGTTCGACTAAATTACAGGTTGGAAGCATACCAAAACCCATCTGATTGATCCTCTACAGTGATCAAACATCATTGTAGACTTTCAAAACCACAATTAAAGTTTTATTGAGTCTTTGGCTTCATTGTTTATTTTGCTGTGACCTACTTCCCATTTTCACTTAGAAAAGCTTAGAGTCTCATGCAAGCCACCTGACTGAAGGCCTGATAACTGAAGTTAACATTGGGGGTGCACTGTGAAAGAAACTGACCTTGAGAGCAACTGAGAAATCCACATCCTTTGTCTCCTTCAGTCCCAGAGGGATGAGTGGAATGCTGGATGTCTCTCTGTGAAATGAATAAAAAGACAGATTAGAAATTAAATTTAGAAAAACCAAGATAAGAACACATTCAGTAAGAAAGAATAAGACTTAAGAAAGGCCAGACCATTCTTAGGCCAGTGATTCAGCGATTCCAGACCTCCTACTCTCTGTGTGACTCAGAGCTGAAACAATTCTATGCCAGTTTCAATCATCTCTAAGACTGAATCAGCTGATACCAGAGTAGAAGATTCTTACGTTATAAAAAAAATATTGCCTATTAAAAAACTTTGACCCAAGAAAGAGGTATGTGTGCGTGTGTGTGTGTGTAAGTAAGCGTAAGAGTGGGTAGTTTGTGCTGATCACACTTTCATGTACGTGATTATACAGTATACATATTATATTTATGTTTGTGTTGTAACTGCATTAACTACAATGCTTGCACTGGTGGGGCATTAGCTCAGAGCAGTCTTTGACCCAAGAAAGAGAGAGGTGTGTGCGTGTGTGTGTGTGTGTAAGCGTAAGAGTGGGTAGTTTGTGCTGATCACACTTTCATGTACGTGATTATACAGTATACATATTATATTTATGTTTGTGTTGTAACTGCATTAACTACAATGCTTGCACTGGTGGGGCATTAGCTCAGAGCAGTCTGAGTGAAGATAGACGAGAGAACATGTGAGCTGTGAGCTGAAGAGAGGCAGTCCTGGTCTGTCCTGATTGAGTCTATGACAGGTAACAGTCCAGCCCCAGTGTGGTTTAGGGGAATATTTGTAAGAAATATTACTGGATCAGAGGAAATATCACTAATGCTTCAAGGAGATGCTGAAATAAACAAAATACTGTATGAACTAAAAAAAAAAAAACTGAAGAAATCAAAGCAGAAAGAATATGTAGGTTCAATTACTTAACATTGGTTAATGCATTTGGTATAATGAACTATGATCAATAATTTAACATCATTTATTGATCTGGGTTAAATTTAATTCCTATATACACTACCATTCAAAGTTTAGGGTCAGTTAGAAATTAAAGAATTTTTATTTAAAAGTGACAGTAAAGACATTTATAATGTTACAAAATATTTCGATTTCAAATAAATGCTTAAATGCCTATTCATCAAAGAATCATAAAAACACACACACACACACACACACAGACACACACACACACACACACACAGACACACACACAAAACAATGTATTGCGGTTTCCGTAAAAATATTAAGCAGCACAACCATTTTCAACAATGACAAAAGTTGAAAATGATTTCTGAAAGATCATGTGACACTGAAGACTGGAGTAATTGCTGCTGAAAATTCAGCTCCCAGGAATAAATTAGTTTATAAATTATATATTAAAATAGAAAACCGTTATTTTAAATTATAATAATATTTCACAACATTACTGTTTTTACTGTATATGTAATTTTACTGTATTTATAATAATGCGGCCTTTGTGATCAATGACAGTCTTCTTTAAAAAAAAAATAAATAAATCAAATCTCAAAACTTTTGAACAGGAGTGTATAATAAAACTTTTTTTTTGCATTGTGAGTTGTATAAATTGACATTAACCAATGCATTATGTCAAAACATTTATTAATGAACAGTAATATTTACAAATAATCTAGATTAATAAATGCTGTATGAGTACTGTTCATTCTTAGTTCATGACAGCAAATTCACTGCAATGAGACACACAGAGAACAGAAGACAGGTTTTGTTCCCGTGTACTCTTCAGGCCATGAGAAAAAAGTTTGTGTTTCAAAAACAGACAGAGAGGGACAGAGGGGGCGCAGGGGCTTGAAATAAATGAAAGAATGCAGTTCTGTCCTTTTACTGACACACACACACACACACTGAGTAAGCTGGCAGCCAGGTGCGATGGAGAATG